TGTCTGGGCCTCTCCCAGGAAGGAGGGAGGACCTGTGTTGCCGGAGTCTGGCCTCATCTGCCTCAGAGGTGGCTGCCTGAAACCTGGTGCTTGGTCACCAGGACAGGATGTAGAGCTCAGAAATCCCAGGGGCAGGGCCCAGCCCTATCCCCTTCCTGCCTGGTGAGGAGCTCAGCAGGGGAGAGGTGACAAAGGCATCCGGCAGGGGTGGGGATGGGGGGGCCTGGGGATGAGCTCCCCGGGGGAGAGGAGGCCTGCCGTCAGGTGGAACAGGGAAGGGGCGCAAGCCTTGGGACCTTAGCAGCCGCTTGTCAGGTCCCAGCTGCCAGCACCAGGAGCCACCTTCCCTTTCTGCCCTGCATCCACCCGTTGGTGGCCTCCCAGCTGGCCCTGCCAAGATGAAACTCAAGGCAGCTGGGGCTGGGCTGGTGGGCGGGGGCGCCTCTCCCATTACTGATGGCTGCCATGGTGACCAGATAGTGACAGATCGCGCTGGGTGGGAGGGCGGAGGTGGGGGAGTTGGAAGGTCCAGGGCTGCACCGCAGGCCCAGCCAGACCTCTGGGGGCACGGCTAGCTAGCTGAGGATCGCCGAGCCCCTCTGCCTGCTAGGCAAGCTGCAGCATTAGTCAGTTCTCTGGCCTCGGGCTGAGCCTTAATAACGTGACCAGGCCAGGCAGGCCTCATATCCCCAACGTGCTGGGCCTGTCTTCCTGGTCTGATGGGCCGGATGGACCCTGGCCCACACAGAGTGCATGTTCAAGAATAATGAGTAGGAGATACAGTGAGCAGATGGTGACAACTGCCAAGAAGACTGATGGGAAAGTCAGGGGTGTGCTGAGCAGGTGACACTTGTAGGTAAAGTCTGAAGGAAGTGAGGGAAGGTCCCTGCTAGCACCTGGGGGAACAGCATTCTAGGCTGAGGGAACAGCCAGTGCCAAGGCCCTGAGGCAGGACTGTGCCAGGGGTGCTAGAGGAACAGTGAGGTGGCCAGTGTGGCATATGGGGAGCAAGGTGGAGAGGAGAGCATGACGGTAGGATGTGAGTCACGGTGAGGAGCTGGCCTTTTACTCTGCATGATGGGAGCCATGGGGGCTGTGAACAGAGAACAGCAAGCAGACTCCCTCTGGCCTCTGTCCGGGGTCAGGAGGAAGCCAGGATACCAGGCAAGAGGCATTAGGGGGGCCCAGGGCCACAGGACGCTGTGCAGGTGCAGAGAAGTGGCTGAACTCGTGAACATTCAGAGGTAGGGCCAACTGAGTGTGTTGCTGGACCGGATGAAGGTTGAGGGGAAGGAGGAGAGATGTTGCCTCCTCAGTCCCCCTGCCTGTTTTCCCCCATGCACCTGAGGGTCAGGTCGGGCCTCCTGTGGGGCCCACACTGATTTTCACTCTGCATCTTAAAGGCTTTGGGATGACGTCCTTGGTGGGAGGGAAGGAGGAACACAGGAATGTGGGAGTCCTGGGGGGGCTGTCAGTGTCAGGGAAGGTGATATTCCCAATAGGTGACTGGTGTCCTTGGTCATGGCCAGTGGGGGCTTCAGACACAGGGCCTGGTCACTGGATAGTAGAGTATCACCAGGGGTGGTCCCAATGGAGCCAGCGGTCTCGATCCAGTCTCTGAGTCCCAGCAGGTGGGTGTCCACTCCCTCTGCCTCTCCGCAGGCAGGCCCGTGTTAACCTGCTGCGGGGGAGGGAGGCCTGCCAGGTCCTCAGGGTCACGGATAGCAGCAGGTGGCCCTGAGGGCAGGGAAAGAGTTACCGCTGAAGGGCACTGCCTGTTGGTGCTCACCGTGCCCCACATCGCAGACACCGAGTGGTGGGGTGGGGGAGCCGAGTGGGCAGGGGCACTGCGGAGCGGGGGCAGGGGGTGCGGACCCGGGGTCCAGGCCGGGCAGGCGCCTGGCAGACACCCTCCCCGCGTTGCTCCCCGCCTCGGTTTCCTCCACTGGAAAATGAGCTGGAGCGCGGGCCCGGCTCCAGCACGCGTCGCGACAACTCCGGGTCTTATCTGCCCGTGGTCGCCGCTGCTGCC